CACAAACACACACACACATATATATATACATGTTTTTAATACTTTTGAAAAAAAATAAAGGGGACAAACAAATTAGTACGGAAATATGATATTAAAACTTTATTAGCCAAATTCTTCAAAATTTGAATTTTATTATCTTTATTTTTTTATAATTAAAATAATTTAATAATAAAAAATTAATTTTAAAAAATATATAACCAAGAAAAATATAAAATTATATTTTCTTCCAATGAATTGAGATGCTTTTTTTTCAAATAGCAATAAGTGATTACGACTGGTCTATGTAGGTACAAAAGAAAATGTCGCGTTGGAAAAGTTCATGTCATGATGAATTATTTCTAGTTTAGATTAAGACATTTGACTTTAGACAAATATTGGCATCACCACAAATTTTGAAGGGAAAAAAATATTTGAAACCACATATATATATATATTAACTGATTGATGTATTATTGAATGGCCAGTGCCAAGAAGAGAATGATGTTAAATGAATACAAGCCAAGTCAAAAGGAAAAGGAAGAAAAAATATGCACAACCAAAACAGACCATTAAATGTTTGTCCATGTCAAAAACCTTCAGGGCCTCGAGCTAGCGTTTGGACTGCAGCTGTTTCTATATGCTTGTCAACTCAAAATCGTCCAGATCACACAAATTGAATGGCTATCATCGCTTCAAAGAAGTAAAAAGTTTCTACGAGTAAAATGTTCAGATGCTTAGTAAAGTTTTAAGATTGTAATATATTCTGATTAGACAACACTCGCGGAGTTTCAAACGTTCAAGTCTTAACGTATACATCAAGTACATTTTTGAACCCATGTAATAAATACATGTTGACATGTGTGATTCAATGGCTTTTGTACTAGCTGAAATCATTTGATGTCATTTCCTTGTTCGATGCGTAGGCATTATCCAATGGGAGATACAAAAGTTGCCTTCATCGAGCAGTGGTGAACAGGGACAGCGGGAGAAGATCACTGGTTTTCTTTGTTAGTCCAAAAGAGGAAAAAGTAGTGAGACCCCCACGAGATCTTGTTTCCAGAGAAGGGCAAAGGATTTACCCAGATTTCACATGGTCGGATTTGTTGGAGTTTACTCAAAAGCACTACAGAGCTGATGTCGCTACACTCCAAAGCTTCATTCAATGGCTTTTATCTTCTAAATCATCTACCTTTTAGTCGCTTTGGATACTCTCGATGATTGTTTGCCTTTGTGTATCATCTAATTTAGCTAGGCTAGCAGCGATCTCCTTTTATATTTTCTCAAGTGGGTGCCTGGGTTGCCACCAGTACCTTCTATGTAGCTTTCTGAATTCACTTGCAAGAAAAATTGAGCGCCAGTGTTCTGCCTATAGCGCATTCAAAGAACAAAAAAACTATTCTAGTATCCATCCCTTTTTACTAAAATTATTATAATTTACACTTTAATTTATCAAGATAAACTAAATAGTTATCATAATCAGAAACTATATGTTTAATCTATTTGTTTTTAAATTTACTTATACCTTAATATTTATTTATAATTTTTTTAATCAAACTATATTTTTTACATGTTATTTATGTTATATTTTGAACCCACCAAATTTATTGTATTATGTTATGGTAATCTTCATGTTAGTTAATTTTCAACAAATGCTGAGGAGGAGTTGGATAAAGAGATTTCAAGGTTTATTTGATGAGTTGGGTCTTTTTTTTCTTTTTTTTAATAAATTCTATCTTCTTTTTTTATTGAATCTTTTTTATTTTTTTTTAATTTCAGCCTTCAATATTTAATTAATTTTGAACTTGTTTTTATAATTTGTTTTGGTTTACTTTTAATGAGGTTATTGCAATCTCAAATAAATATCCGGTATTTGCTTGGTGCTCAAGTTTTTAAGTATTTATTTTTGTTATCATATCATTAAATAAAAACTTGTTTAAGAAAACAAAGTTATTAAACCCAATAAAGTTCATGATCCGAATCATAGGTTTGATTAGGTTAAATAATAAAACTCGTGTCGATCTAACATGTCATTATCTCAATATTAAAAAAAAGATATCATTTTGATTTTTTTTTAAACTAAATTAATCTTTTTTATTTATCATTCGAATTGCTTTTGAATCCATCAAGTTATTGGAATCATGTCAAGACAACTCCCATGCAGGTTAAATTTAAACTTGAACTAGGTAATGAGACAAGTAAAGAGGCTTAAAAATTGACCTGCTAGGTTAAGTTTAATAAAAATATCAAATAATTGCTTACAAGTTATTATTTTTTTTTGTTTAAGCTACAACTTAAATAAAAAAAAGTTTATATAAAAAAAATTTATATTACAAAAACTATTTGATATTATTATTAAATTTATCTTAACATATTAACCTTAAAATTTTTCAACCCAATTAAATTCATCTTAACATATTAACCTTAAAATTTTTCAACCCAATTACTTGCCTAGAACTAGTTTAACATTAAATCGTCTATATGATATCGATGCATGATTCAACTGGTAGAATAACGTCCAACAGGAATGGTTCAGCTAATTGGAGCAGAAGCAAAGCAAGTAATTGATCCACTCGTTAAAATGGGCACCAATCCCATCTGTTTATGCAACAAATATATTAGATTGTGTTTACTATAATGTGGCCAAATTTTTATTTTGATTAGTAATTGGGAGAACTTTATGTTAACAAAAAAAAGATAAAGGTTGAAGAAGGATAAAATTGAAATAAAATATTAATTTTATAAAATGTTTTAAATAAAATAATTAATAATTAAATCTAACAAATAAAAAAGTTAAAAAATAAAATTAAAAATTTTTTAATTTTATAAATTATTTCAAATAAAATAAATAATAATAAAAAAATCACATAATATAATATATAAGTTTATTGTTTTGGGATATGACAGCGAAGATTGTGACTGTGGAGGAGGTTTGATGGTAGTGATACAAATGTAAAAATAAATTATTATTTTATTTAATTTGTGTAATAAAAAATAATTATTATTTTATTTATTTTATAAAATAAAAATTAATGGCAAAATATTCCGTCACAAAATAATTTCATCATCGTAAACCATTCAGCAACGAAAGAAAGATTTTGCTACAGGTATTGCGATGAAATTAATAGATTTTGTGCAGAAAATTCTGTAACTATTTGCTTGCTTTCTATTATTGACATCAGTCTTTCATGTTATCTCGTTTCTATAAATTCTAACTCCCTTACTCTTCTAACTTTTTCTCTTCAACTTTGAATACAAGTGAGAATAAAATGATTTGAACCATTTTATTTCCTTTACCAATTAAATAACGATTTCAGTGTCCTCCAACATTCAAGTGATCTAAGAACAGCGTTCCTTTCTTTGAAGTTCAAATCTTATTTTGAAATAAATTAGCTGCTAAATTAATTGGAAAGTGAAACTAGAGATCATTTTCTTTGAAGGGTGGTGAAAACGAAAATAAAGAGACCATGTGAAACTACAGATTACTTGGCATATATCGATTTTGGAGTTGTAAATGTTTCAGGATGGAATTAGGAGAGAAAGGCGAAGGAAATGGTTGATGATCAGCTGTCATAAAAGATGGCGGCTGAGATGTAAGATGTGAGGAAGAATATACATTAGTGTAAGGTAATATCATATTTTGTTCTTGTTGTTGTTGATGATGATGCTGTTGTAACCTTTGTTGTTCCCTTCTTTGTTGCTTTGGAAGATTAAGCTTTTCTCCTTCAATCTCTAGGGTTGTGATAAAACTTAAGTGGAGCGATAAAGTCTTCAAACCCTAGGGTTGTGATGGCCAAATAATATCATCACCATTAATAGTCTCTCTTCTCTCTTTGGCATTTATCAAATGCTTCTCCGGTAACAAAGCTGATGACGCACTCTTGAACTGACTCTTTCGATATTTCCCCATTGTCTGGAATCGCTTTATTCATAACTCTGCCAACATTTGCTATAGGAAGGAAGTGTCGTTGCTATTTAATGTTGTGATTGTTGCTGCTGCAACTCTTCAAACATGGGTTTTCTGGGCTTCCCCCACCGTAGCCATCCGTTCTATTTCCACGGTTTTCACCTTCCATTTCTCTCCCATGCACACACACGCCCTCTCCAAAGTGGAACAGATTGGTTTTAACGTGGATAATAATGTTAAGGCTTGTTTTGTGGAATGAAATAACTGGAAAGAAGAACCAAGAAAATAGGCATGTGCAGGGGCGGAGACAGGGGGAGGCTGGCAGGGCCCCGGCCCCTGCAAGGAAATTTTTTTTCCAGTCTTCTTTAAATTTATTCTTAGTATTCTTATAAAACACTGCATAAACAGCATTTTGGCCCCTCTTGATTTTATATTTTGGTTCCGCCCCTGGGCATGTGAAGAGAGAAAATAAAAGACTTGACTGAATTTTTAATAGATAAGCTGCTTTCGTGGATACGTAGATTACTGCCATGACCTAATCTAACTTGTGTTCAAAGTATTGATCGGTTTTGGCTTTGATATATATACCCCCATCGTGACAAGCTTTGGTTTAATTGTTGGGGTTAAGGTAAGAGGACGGTTTCACATGGTTTCTTCTGAACCTCTTCCATTGAATCTGGGAAACTTGATAAGCAGTCAATTTTGTTGCAACTTACGTAGTGATTGAAAGAATCTCATCTTAGGTTAATTTAATGCTCCTCACTTTAGTAAAGCTATACATATATAAGCTAAAATAAATTAGGGTTTTATGAACAAAGGGGAATGTTGTTCATGCAAATTGCAAACTGGTATCATTTTTCAGATGAGGTCCAACCTAGATAGAAACAATGTGCCATTTGCACATCATTTTCCTTCGTAGAGAACATACATGAGGTTCGGTTTTTTGACAAATATATTTCTGAGAAAGGCAAATGGAGTAAAATAGACGGTCTGCAAAAATCAATTACAGAACTGCAAAACAATTGTTAAGACAGTGAGGAAACAAAAATTGAATCTCCAATAGGAGCAAGTAAAAAAGGGTCATCATGTTCTTTTCAAGGGCCGTACAAAATGTAGCTGTCCACAATCAACTTTTCTTTCATTGAGATGCAATAGAGACAAATTCAGCATTACACATTTCAATATGATATTCAAAAAATTTGATGTTCGTCCAAACCTATAACAATTGGACTTTACACTTGAAGAATGTATTGTCATCTTTTTAACAATAATATTAACTGAAACTGTGACACAAATCTTGGGATGAAGAAATCATAAAACTAAAAGATACGGAAAACATCTGACAATGACAATCCTAATTATCATGGTAGATAAGCTAACATGGAGATGCAGTTACATGAATTGTAATTAGCAACCAGAGCAAAAAGAATACCTAATCTCACTTGCAATAGAACACCGAGAATGGAAATGCCACTGACTGGGCTGGAATCATGCTTAAGCAATAGCATAAGTGAGTGTCTCTGACTCACTGGGTCGCCACATGGATTTCTGGACACACAGCAATCCTTCCTTGTCCTTAGAGTAGGTCATACGAACCTCCCACTGCATAGACCTTGCCATGTTCTCCAGCTCATTAATGGTCTCAACATTGTCCCGGACAATGAGCTTCCCTTCTGGCCTCAGAATTCTATCAACTTCCGCAAATACAGCCACCATACTGCACCTGTAAGACTCACAAACCATTGCAAGGTTAGACACAGAAAGCAGAGAAACAGTGAGGTTTATCAAGTGCAACTTTCCACGGTAAGAAATGCACTTTAGATGATTATTATATACCTCTTTTTAACCTTGGAGAATAGATGGTCCGCATGGAGAAGATCATAAGATCTAGGATAAGTGCTGAATGATTCACACCAATCATGATAAATTCCAAACAGCCCACGTTCATAAATTATAGGTAGAGTATCTGGCGAGTCTACTGTGATCACATTCATGACCCACACGTTCAAATCCTTCAGAGCTGCAGCAAAACTGCCAACACAAGAAGAATATCAGACCAAAGAAAAAGGGCAATATTTACATTTTATTATGTAGCTTGGAAAAAGCACCAAACCCTGCTAAAAGGGAACGTGGGGAAGTAGATTATTCTTCTTGCCAGCATAACAAATTTTTACATTATAAAGAATCATAGCAAGAAAGATACAGAGTTGTTAAGTGTGGTATTTTGCCAGAGAAATAAACAGGAGCATTAATCATTTAACACTTTCAACAAGAAACAACAAAAATTGTGCTTACCCTCCATAAACAGATCTCATGTCCATGGCATTTCTCACAGATGACCAGTTTATTCCAATTCCATTTAGATATGAATTGGAGACCACCCGCTTCCAGTGCTCATAATCTGCAGTGAAATCTTCTGGTGCTGGTTTACCATAAACCCCAACTTGGGAACTCAACATCCAATAAGGTGTTTTACCCAACCTTGCCGGCCATTGCTCTGGCCATTGAGACCCACGTTCCAGTGAATCTACAGGCACCTTATGCATACATGCTTGCAGCGGCACATTCCTAAGCACAAGAATGAAATTAAACTATAAAAGTTATGCACCTTGTGATGCATGCTAGCTATTCCTACACACAGAAATTTGTTCCAATAAAAATTGTGGCAACTCCTTCAAATTCAATGCATGTTCTCCAGATTCACATGCAACTTTTCTTTGCGTGTATGTGTGTGAATAGAAATGTAAAAGAGCAGAAAGATTTCTTGAGATACATATGCATGGAGCAATGGTTGAAAGACATATCCACGGAATTTTAGCAGTAAAACATTGATTATTACTATATTCCTCGCCTTAACATTAAAATTACCAGGCTGCGTTTGGATCATCAGATGCTTCACAAAGTGGAGGCTCTTGTTTTGATCTTTGCTCATAGCAGTCATTGGAAGTAGGCTTCCTGTATGTAGCTACACCCACTCCATTAATTGTGTCCTTGTTAATAGACACAAGTTCCCAGCACATAGTTTTTGTTAGTTCGGTCATGGCTGCAAGCAATACCCATGAAAAGCACATGTTAGATTCCATCAACTCTCTCAAAAATCAGTTCATGTTTGGTTAAGAAATCACCAACCTTGCCAAATTTCAACATCTTCAGCTAGCTTCTGATAAACAGGAGTAGCAGACCACACAAAGAAACCACCAGGCCGCAACACGCGATTCAGCTCCAGAAGAAGTTTACCACCTGCATATGTCAATTGCTCAATTAAAATAAAAACAAAATTGAATTTTATATTCTCTCTATATTTTGTTAAATAAAACTAAGAAATCCCATTTTATATAGTATCGATCAGAAGAGATCAGCACATGGAGCAAATCAAAGAACATGGCCCAAAAAGGAATATAATATAAGTTTGGATGAGCTTAAACCTATATGAGGAAATGCAAAATAAGTGCCCACCTTCAATATGCCACGGTACTCTACAGCGCGCACAATGAACAGCATCAAAAACTCTGCCAGGGTAGGGAAGCCTCTTTGTTCCCATCACAGCTGATATAGCTGGGATTCCTCTTTCAAGAGCAAATTGTACTTGAGCTTCATGCTCATCTTTAGGGGCAAATGACATTGTTAGAACATCTCTGTCAAAGAGATATCCTCCAAAGCTAGCAACTCCACATCCAACATCCAATATCACACGGGTTTGTTTTCCCCATACAATGTCAGGCACAGACTGCACCATACAAGTCTCAACATTCAGAATCTCACAGGAAAATGGAACACAAAATTCGAGTAAAAGCAATTGAAAGCTTACGCATCTTGTTATATATATTATTAAAAAAAACAGTAAATATGTAAGGCATTGATAAATAAGCTTTTCAACATCAAAAGGCAATTTTGCTGGATTTTGGAAAAGTTAGGATGCTGTATTATCAAAGATTTTCAGATTTAATGTAAACAGGAGAATTGGAACAGTGTATCTAAGTACAAATAATCATTCAACACACATGACAATAAATGAAAAGCTGACTGAATAATCCCCCCCTTCACAAGACCATGCTACCCGTTTCTCATCATTTTCCAACTCAACTCCCACACTGCAGCTCATCTTTCTTCCAACCTAAAAATAACTTCTGCACCTCCCTTTGAATTATTTTTCCAATCTTTCAAGTTTTTCAAACCACATCCTAAAGCCTCCAATACCCATGCTTATTTAGTGATGACTCAAGAATTTGGAGATACCATGCATCCAAATTTATATCCAAGATGCAGGCCATCAAGTGCAGGGGTAACCTAGATCCAGCCAAACTAGAACTTTATTGATTATAATAACCACCAATAGTAGGGGTCAAAATTATTCATGAGGCAAAGATCTTTAGACAGCTTACCACTCAACCACAATCTTAAGTTTACTTTCAGAAAACTAAAGACAACAATATTTGTAATGATAACACACAGCCACGTATGCACAATCACATTAGTAACTCCAGAATGCTTGCAACCCAAAGGGAGGAGAGTAGCAAAGTAGCAACCATACATTCATAAAACACATAAAAAGAGGGCATTAAAATAACATATAACTGGGTTCACCTCACTTATGAAGTCAATGTAATGAAGAGCGCCATGCTTAAACTGGGTTCCACCACCAGGGAAAGTGAGGAATTCACCAGTAACTTTCACCCAGTTTTGATGCCCCTTAATTTGTGCAAGCTTGGTGTGGGGAACATTATGGTACCATATCTGCAACAACACCGAGTATTAATCCAACATTGCAAGAAAATGGTGGAAAGTCAATGAACTTGCATAAGCTTATTGAACCTACCTTTTCCCTGCTTGTTGGCCACTCAATTGGGCGTTTATATCCTTCAGGAAGAGGAACAAGACAGGTTGGGGGTTCTTCAGGACAGTGCCTCTCTCGATGTTCATAGTGCTTTGTAGAATGAAGACTCCTAATTTTTTGCCAATTGTCAAGACATGGGATGTAATCAGGCCCAGCAGTGACATTGCACAGTTTCCAATTGTACCTCCCTTGCTGATTAGAAGACTTTTGAGTTTCCTTCTCATTCTTTGACTCTGCTGCCTGAGTTGACCACGAACCACTCTGAGTGGTCGTTTCATTCAAAAGCTCTGACTGAGCCCCTGAAGGAAGTAACTCACCTGAACCCTGGTTGTTGGCCTGCCCATCAGAACTTTTATCCGCCTCCTTACTATCTTTCTGATCCACCTTCTCATCTATCTTATCATTCCCTGTTTCCCCATCCTCACCTTCACCAGTATTCTCATCCAATTTTGTTTCAGTCTCATCAGTACCAGGTTTCTTCTCCGTTGAATTCTTCTCAGAATCTCCTTGTCCAGCTGCATTACTTTCTCCATCATCTGGCTTTGTCCCTCCATCTTTTGTGTTTGTTTCTCCATTGTTGATCTTAGTGTCAGCATCCTCTGCATTAGTTCCTCCATTTTGTGTCTCAGTAGTTGACCCATCATCGGACTTGGTATCTTCATTTGATTTTTCCTCAGGCTTCTCCTCCGGCTTCTCCTCAGGCTTCTCTTCTTGCTTCTCCTCCGGCTTCTCCTCTGGCTTCTCTTCTTGCTTCTCCTCCAGCTTCTCCTCTGGCTTCTCCTCTGGCTTCTCTTCAGGAATCTCCTCGGGCTTCTCTTCAGGTGTACTGCTGTCTCCTTGTGTTGCATCCTCAGGCAAATCACCCGGGCTATCCTCAGGTTGCTTAGGATTGATTTCATTGCTTTCAGGAACTTGTTGCTTCACCTCATTCTTGTTTTCCTGAGCAGGAACATCAACACTTTGTCCAGGAACCACAGAAGACGATGTCATCATCCATACCCCAACCAAGCAGAGACCCACAAACACCGTGATTGTCACTGTCGAGCAGTAACTCGAATTTTGTCTTCTATTGTCTACCCTGCTGTATTTTCCTAACGCCATGTTCTCCTATAGCCAATCAATTCTCAAAATTTTGAACACCTGCATATCAAAGTTGAAACCATGACAAATCTCACAGCGACACAGCCTACAAAGCATAAATTTTGACACATCGGTCAAAATTTTCAAATCGCATTTCATCATATATTTTACACGCATAAAGTCGCATAGCTCCCAAAATATACAAGAAATTCATCCCGATTTGTGAAGTCCAACCTTAAAACAGTAATACATCCACATTCGCATGGTTTTAAGCGTAACTGGAAAACATAAAATCTTTTTATCTCATGAAATTGAATTGGCATCGAACACAGGGAGCACAAAACAAATATTAATGCTTAGATCGAGAATGGATCAAATCAACTAACCTTCAAGAAAAAGTAACAGATTTTTAGCATGCATAATGACAAACTTCAACAAAAAAAAAACTACTACCACAAAAAAGCAAGAGATTCAAACTTGATAAAAGGTTGTCGTAAAAATCCCATTACAAATAACCACAAAACACAACATTACAAGCAAAAATAAGAAAGTTGTAACAAGAAAACAATGCAGATCTATATAATTGAGCCTTATAATGACAACCTTTTGCTAAAACCAAGTATTATAAAGGGATCGCATCAAGATCACATAAGATCCATTAAGACTTAGTCATGTCTCACATGATTTGCAAAAATTAAAGAAGCCCAGATGATGTAAAACAAATCCAAGATACAATGATGAATGAGCTGAAGATAACAGGCACTGAAAAATAGCATTCTGGCATACCTTGTATTGATAATACGAAGAGAAGCAGATCTCGGGTGTGAAAGATGCAAGCTTTTATAGCCTTATTTGTTCATATTTCTAAGTTGGCAAAGAGGGAGGGAGAGAGAGATTGATCCAAAGCTACTAATTGACAAGAAAAGGGAAAGATAAGGATAAAGAAATAGAAGTAGGAGAAGAATACGAAGAGATTAGAGATGGGTTAAATAAGAAGGATCAGTGTTCACTTTGGTTGTGTTAGTACAGAACTCCTATAATCTACGTAAGAGGGAGAGGAAAAGGGACGGTCGAACAAGACACGGAGAGTTAAAGCCACAAGAATTGCCGTGAAATCAGCTGCTCTTGAGAGAGAGGCATTGCTGATAGAAGACTACCGCTTATAATAGAGTGGAGAAGAGGACCAATTTTATTTTGCAATGTTTGCAGGTGCAATGATCATTTTGGTGCTTGAACTTGTGTACATTATTCAATTTCATCTTCAATTACTGTCTCTATTGTTATCATATTTCTATCATTTACAAGATTAACACCCACGCAAGTACATATGAGGTAGTCAGGGGTGCCTGTGTTCTCAGTACTTGTTGTTTGTTATTTTTAAAAGTATTTATTGTTGAGAAATATATTAAAATATTATTTTTTTATTTTTAATATTAATATTTTATTTTTTATTTCAAAAAAGTATTTATTGTTGAGAAATATTAAAAAAAAATATTTAAAATAAAAATATTATTTTAATATATTTTTCAACAAAAATTAATTTAAAAAACAAGTTATACCATAACTCTATAGCTCCAAACACGCTAATAATTTCCTCCGCTCTAGTTAGCTAGGGATGTTTGAAATAATAATTTTCGTTATTTTTAAAAATATTTTTTACTTAAAAAAATATTTTTAATATTAATATATTAAAATTAAAAAAAAACAAATAAAATGAAAACTTTTAAAAACTCTCTCGTCGAAATATGTCCAAACATACTCTTGAAGGAGCGTTTGGCAAATTGCCTAGGTTGGCCTTTTTCTCCTTTTCCCTAATAAAATAAAATATAATATAATTACAATTATGGTTTAAGGCTTAAAGTTCAAGCAAAGGCCATCTTTGTTATTAAGAGATTTGCTTGGTTTACACGATGGATGGAGGGTTGAAATTGCACATGGTTTGCTACTCTTAGGACTCACTCGACGGAGAAGATTTGTTGCCGTGGTTTTCAACGCTTTCTAGATCTTAATTATTTTGGGTTATTTTTTAATATTTCCCATCAGCGATATATTCAACGTTACATTAAATTTATTCAAACTACCATTTTATTTTTCTTTTTACAATAAAATGGTAGTTTGAATTAATTTATTTTATTTTTTTATCTACTAAACTATTCTTCTTTGATCGGATCTTAAACTTCGCCGTTTTATGAGGTTTCTTTTGGTATTCAAATCACATCCATTACTTAGGGTTTAGTTTTAGTGTCATGAAATAAATAACAATAACATGTTTCTCTGTAATTTTTGTTTTGAAAATAAAAAATTAATTTTAATATCATTTCAGAAATATATTTATTTTATATTTTTTATCTAAATCTCTCCTACAAAACACGATAATTTTTAATTTTTATTTTAATATCGATCTCGATTCTTATTGGAGCCAAGAATACAATCGAAACAAGCCTGGCTTCTGTTATTCCATGTTAAAGAAGGTTGCTTGAATCGGCATGCATTCTCAATTGTATGAAACCCTAGAAAGTTCAGTAAAAAAACATAAATTACTCCTGGCTACAAGTCATGAAAAGATCTGTCAAAAAAAAGCATAGAACACAACTTAATTTCAAGAATATTATTTGAATTATTAGACAGTTGAGATATCTAGCTGCTTTGAATGAAATTGATCGTGGCCATATTTTGCTTTTCCACCTTACAAAATAATGCTTTTTTACCTGTCGAGAGAGCCGTGGAGATTTACCAAAGAAGAGAGTGATGACAATGGCACTGACTGTTTCTGTGTTCGGCAAAACCATTGATAGAAATAGGAGGCTGTAGGGGCCAAGGCTTCGGAACATCTTGCCAATTGATGAGGTTACATGGCATGTTCCAAATCATTTGATGTGAGGTCACACATCCACGCTTGATTGTCTCAGTATATTTTTTGTGTTTTAAAAGATTTTTAAAAAAAATTATTTCTTTCTTTAAATTAATTTATTTTTTTATATTTTAAGAATATTTTAATATATTGATATCAAAAATAATTTTAATATATTTTTAAATTAAAAATACTTTAAAAATTAATTATTACTATACTTTTAAATACATTGTAAACCAGGCATTGATGTACATTTTAAATTACGTTTCTCTTCAACAAAATATTCAATGACTTTTTATTTAACATAATTTGAGTTTATTTGGCTCTTTTCAAGTTAATGTATTTGTGTTTTAGAGATTTTTATGGTTATGATTTGAAAAAAAAAATAAAAAAAAAAAGTATTTTTAATTGTAATTAGTTGAATTTAAATATATATTTAATAAAAATTATAATTAAAGTTTATACGGAGTAAAAAATATATATAAAGTATTAAAATAAAACCTTTTAACTTTCTTACAAACAATAAAAAGGAAACCAGTAAGGATTTTTTGGTAATTTTAGGCAAACATATTAGGAATATTACAAAACTTGATTAAAACAAATATATAGAAATTGCTGTATAATAATTATATTTTAAATTTAATTTTTTAATGGGCCTTCGCAACATAAAACTCATTTCTTTTAAAAACCAAACATGTTATTGAGTATAATTCACAAACATGAAATCTCCGAAAAACAATCACAGTATTAGTTTTAACATGATATAAAAGAAGAAAATTCTGGCCTTTTAAATTATAAGAAGATGGCTAGAATTATTATATATATATTCACATTAAAAATAATTAAATTAACTGATTTAATCACATGAAAAAGAATCTGGAGAAACGTCATTCCTAATAAAAACTCAGCCCATCATTTAATTTTAATGACTGAGATTAGCACCAACTTAAAAGGAGCCAAATCTAAGTTATAACGAGAGTAGATCTTCCCTTCCTAAATCCCTTTTCATCTTTTTTTATGCTTTAAACATGATATTAATTTCCCAACGACGATCTTAAATCATACCCGTCGAGATATCTTCTTGAGACACTGTATGGATCGCATTACACCATAAGAACAATGATTGATTAAGATTTGGAATATAGCATGATTATTGTCACGTAATGTATATTATTGTAATATAGCATGACCTGATTATCTTTTTTTCCCTGAAATTAATGGTAGTATTTCAGATATTTAAATTTAAATTACTAGCTAATATCATTCATTATTCTTAATTACAATTCTTCATTTTACAGCCCCACTAGTCTGAAGTTGAATCGAAGATCCCACTTAAAGAAATCGAATAATACAAGATATACAAAACAATTACTTACTAATAAATTACAACCAACTCGTGTTTATACTAAAATATTAAATTAATTAATTAATTAACAATTATATTTGATTAGATGAGTTAATAATCATTCTGCCATAACTTTAACAACCTTCTCTGCATAACAAATGCCATATATGAGGAACATAGCTTGGAAAAATTATATAAATATATAAAATACAATCTCTCATTCACATGAGCTGGTTTGCCCGAGAGGTTAAGGGGGAAGACTTAAGATCTTCTGTACATAAGTACGCATGGGTTCGAACCCCATAGCCAGCAGCGCTTTCTTCTCTAAACATTGATTTTCAAATTAAAACTCGGAGATCAACAAGATATCTCTTCACAACCAATTCCTTAGAATATATCTTATTATTTTTGTATATTTTTAAATTGTTTTGGTATATTAATATAAAAATATTTTTTAAAATTAAATTACTTTAATATATTTTTGAAAAAAAATTAAAAAAATCATTCTGTCGCCGTCAAACACCCTCGTAGTAAAAATGAAATGAATGTCGGTGTCACCGCGTACAGCTAAGAAACACCCATTTTCTCTCCTTTAAATATTCATTCCTGAATAAGGCCGCCGGATGCGCCACGTGCCCAGACAAAAGTTATTATGATCTCAAAAGATCAAACAAAAACCATTGCTTTTTTCTTCATCTTAACGATTATGAGATTTACCCGCCAGTTTTCGTAACAAGAAAATTAATTATTTTTTATTAAATTCAAATCTATAAACTTTTTTTAGCATATTCTTTTGAATTCAAAACTATACAGTCACGTATGAATTATGGACAGTTATTATATATTGTATCGCCTAATAAAATCAATATCGTATATTTAACACACGTTTTGGATAATATATTAAAGTTTTTGTACCATACATTGAATTATTATCATTGTAACCAAAATTAAAAAATTGAAGGTCAATGTACAGCGAACCTCTCAGCCCAGTTTCTTTTATTTTTAATTTTTTTTAAATTGCGTCATTTTATGGTCTAATTATATAAAATTAATATCTAAATTAAAATACTGAGAAAATACATAATTCATCCGAAATTTATAATAATTTTAATTTTGATTCAAATTTTTTTAAAAAAAAAACAGCTTCATTGTTTTTTATTAATTCCTGGAATAACACACAAAAATTATGAATTCCGTGGGCGTTGTCCTATGGGAGGAAGTAAAAATGAACATATATAGTTTAGATCCATTGCCGACAAAAGAAGGTCACAGGGTCCCACGATCCATATCTGGTCCCACTAGACCGTGCACGTGAGAACTGGAATGCTCTGAATGAGTACAGAAGAAGAACCCCAACGTGTAGGTCACTGGTTCTCACTCTCTGCCTTGCGCCCTGGCAGTAGTGTTTTTTAATAAGGAGATCCAGAGCCCTATTGCGTCTTCACATGGATATCTCGGACCGATCATGCTGAGGCGTGGCGTAAGTAGATACCATGTGAATGGTTGTTTTTTTTTAAAAAAAATGTTTTAAAAAAATTAATTTTTTATTTATTTAAAATTAATTTTTTATGTTTTTAGATTATTTTAATATCTAGATATAAAATAATTAGTTTATTATTTTAAAAATATTTATTTATTTTTTATAATTTTATGAATAATTGAATTACTCTATTACTCTTCCCATTCAATTTTTTTAGTACTGGCTTTAAAAGCTTGATTATGATTTCATAAAAGTTTTTTTCTGTTATTGTTATTTAGTTATAGGAGCATTTCTTATTTTATACATATATAAAAAAAAAAATGTTAATGCATGCTTGACATTTATTAGTCGCTTCATTACTTTTGAGCAAGGAGTGAAGTTGATTACTTTTGAGCAAGGAGTGAAGTTGATGTTGATAGTTGAAATCAAGTTTTTACCATATTATTGAATGTGTCTCAATGTCTTTTTTCTTTT